AATGTTTTCTAAGCGTGACAAATTATTGATTGCACGTACATAAAAGGACTTATTAACCTGTGGGACATCTGCATTGTGCGTCATCGATGATTTACAAAAAATTGTGAATGAGACGTTTATTACGTTTATTGCCGCGTAAATTTAAAAAGCCTCTCATCCCGTCCTACGCGACACGTATACATATCAATCTGAAACGCGATAAATCATAGCTCGGTCATCGTCTTAACCAATCCGCCAAGAGTGTACAAGTTAGTGTAGCATGAAGTATTTCGTGAGCAATAATTTATGCGTGAACACGAACCTTGATCTTCGATACTGCTGTAGGTAGGTTTCGTCTAGCTGCAATAGGACAAAAGTCTGCCTGGTTGCTGTTAATAAGAGTCAGAGCCTTTAGCTTTTGAATCGAACGAAGCTTCTTACTCCGGTAAAAAGGTTGCCACCCTCGTCTCGATAATTGCGAGCCGTGCATCGTATCGCCCACGGACACTACCAATGAATATTTACCCGTTCGTAAAGAAGGAAGGAACTTATCTCCCTCTCCTTAGGTCCGATTCATTGTTGAGTTTCCTCACACCGTTAGAGGACAATGGCTCCCTCTCTCTCATTCAATTGCAGAACAATAAGTCGTGCCGCATCGCGGCATTAACGAGTCTGTGTAGAGAGAGAGAGAGAGAGAGAGAGAGACGCAATGGCGATAGAATTACCCCCTCGTAATTTCTCTCTACAGCTCGACTTTTGTTGTTTAAGAACTCTCTTTTCATTCTTGCCCTCGTCCTTTGACTAATTACCAGCGCGCGCTCATGAAATTCGTTTCGTAATTATTTATGTATGTCGTGAAGATGCAAATTGGCAGGCAATCTTTCGCTGGCCGTTGTAGCCGAGAGGTCGTAAAAAAAGATATGGTCACAGCTGGAGGCGATCGCGGGAGCTCGGCGCAGATAGGAGAGAAAACTTAAACAACCAATAGGCGTACGTTTTCTTCGTTAGCAGCGTTTCCAAATCTGCGGGACTTCGACCTTGGGGTCCGTTGTTCGTCAGCCTCGGAAGGAAATAATTGACCAAGACAATACAAAGCTCAGGAGGATTCGGCTGTCAGCCGGATTAGCCTTGAAAATCTGACCATTGCCTCTGCCAGTACGACGATCAAGTGCAAAAAGTGTCCAGAGAGAAATGAGGCAGCTGAGCAGGGTCAAGGTGCACCCGCACAGAGATCGCTGCTGAAAGATGCGCGCTCTTTCGTAACTTTAGATATATACTCCCTCGGCGAAGAGCACGATAACATCGCACACTGCATGTCTTTGCCATTGTTAAAGCGACTAAGATGGAGCGTTCGCGCTCCCGCTGCTAATGTTCGCGTGTTGCCTTGGTACAACGCACGCGTAACTAAATACTCGCTGGAATTATTGCACTTGTTGCCATAGCTTCTGTTTCCGACGCAGAACTGCTGGAAAAACGCCGACCATCGTCGGCTGAGGCGCGCGGATAGGAAGGCTACAGCTAATCCGAAAACGCGCCATTAGTCGCCTTCTCGGGATCGACGCACTTGGATTAACATTATGGAAGAGAGGGAGAGAAGACAGTTGCACTCGAGAAAGCGGATGCAATGGGCTCTGCACGGAGTGGTCCGTACTCTTTTCTCTGAAGCATAGCTGCAACCAGAGAGATGGTACGAGTATATCCGGAGCGCCGATCGCGCAGAAGGCCGCCCTGTCGAGTTTCGCCGTCGCCGAGACGGCTCTCGATTTGAATCCCCGACCGCCAATGCCGAGTGCAGTTTACTCTCTTTCTTTCTCAGCTGGCTTGTCTATCTCATTCGGTTGGACAGCAGGGCTTCTTCTGCCTTTCATGCGGTTCCTTTCGAATAGCCTGCGTAAGCTTTTAATTCATTTCGATTACACAGTATTAAGCTGTTTTCTGAAGCAGCGTAATTGTTAAATTTAGATTGTTGTGCAAACGAAAGCCACTTTTTTAACTAATTAACTTAATTGACTGATCAATCGAACAAGGTACAAAGTACGCGATGGCCAACCCTTCGATAAGATTAAATAGCTGGCCGCAGCTCGCGCAAAAAAAAAACAGTCAGGTTGAAAAATGAGCTTAATGCACGCCACCTGCATTTCAAGGGTGCGGACTGACGATTCGTGGCCGTAGCAGATTTACGTTTTCTGCGAGGTGCCCGAGAAAAAAATGGGTGGGGGGAGAGAATCAGGTTAAAGGATCAAATTAACGACGACGCGCGAGAGACTAGTTGTGTTTGCGGTCGCGGGAATTTACGGTAGAGAAAAGGTAGAGAGAATGAAAAAGACCATAGCCAGCGGTGACTTAAAGGAAAACGTGCGGCTTCTTCTTAGGGGCGGACTGGAAAAATTCAACTGCTTTATTGCGCTTGATGAGCGAATGTGCGACTCTGTGGCCACGCGTCGTAGCCCTAGACAAAGAATTAAGATCCGAAGGGTTCGTGGTTTTCAAGATAACAGTGCAGGTGTCTTCTGCCTCAGGATGCCGCGAATAGTTGCGTAAATTTTCGTGGGGTTTATTTTTCAAGTAAGAATGTTTCCATTAAATTATTCGAGCATTTCAGTTTTTGATTTACGCAATTAACGTCAACCATTAAAGTCCTACAAAACACACGTGAGTATCCAGGCTCACGGCCAATTACGAATTCAAAAATAATATCCCTGTGTGAATTAGGAAAGTATGCAATTAACCTATCACCCTCTAAATCTTAGTTAGAAATTTATCGGATTTGAACGATCGTAAAGCTGCCGCAAGATGCATATTCGCATTTAGCTTCCTAGAGAGAGTAAAAAACTCTGACATAATCACAGACAGCTTAAACGACAAATATACAAGCACCTATTCAAGCTGATGAATTCCTCCAACCCTTCGTCGAGAGTATAAAAAACAAATCCCGTACAGAGAAGTTTCTAGGTAAAAGCGCATATGGGTTAAGGCTAAACCTCCTCCTCCGTTTTTCCCGAACGCGGAAGCGAGCCGATATCTTTTTCTCTGAATGTGATACCAAAAGATTAATATTACGGTCACGCAATTCAGTGCGCGCATCTCCTTTATTGTTTGCACGCTATAATACAACAAGAACGTTGACCTCTTTCTTTCGATTATATGCAGGCCGAGCCTTCATTTAAAAAATATATTTTTTTTGGTTCTCTTATTCTATCGCACAGCTGCGCGGCGAGTTTACGACGACGGCTGTGGATTTTATTTCGTTGAGATCGGGACCCTCTGATCGCAGAAAGAGAGAGAGAGAGAGAGAGAGAGAGAGAGAGAGAGAGAGAGAGAGAGAGAGAGAGAGAGAGAGAGAGAGAGAGAGAGAGAGTCCGCACGCGCGCGAGAGTGGCATAATGTGAATTACATCGAGTCATAAAGGTATTTCAATCGCGCACTTCGTGATGTTCGCGCCAACAGCTCTGTACGCCGAGAGATGTTTTCATTTTGATTTGCACTCCTTGTGAAAGTCAAGATCGCGGTCGTATTTTGCAATATATACAACAAAGTAAATTGTTTATGTACATTTTCTTTTATGCCCATCCGCGGAATAGAAGCTATAAAACTGTTCGAAAATTTATAATTGCACAGCCCAAAAATCGTGTATAATTAAGCAATGTGGAAAAAAAATGGACGCGCCCGCGTACCATATAACCCGTATTGAAGCCCCGAAGCACATCCGAAACCATCGAAAAATTTACGAGAGAGAGTATATATAGTGTGCCTCCCAGACCTTTCCACCGTTACTTCTTGCCAAGAATAATTTTGGCCCTTCCCCTCATCTAACTTTCGCATTTATACGCGGCAGCTACATAGACGCTCAGGTATACAGCTAAACGGCACCAATTGGCTTACAGGAGAGAAAGATAGAGTAAATTTCGGCCAATACGCATCTTAAGGGTTAATTTGCCTCAGATATAAACGAAGGACTTTTGTAAACGTTCCGCGTCGCTCTCTCTCTCTCTCTCTCTCTCTCTCTCTCTCTCTCTCTCTCTCTCTCTCTCTCATTCTGTAGCAGAGGAGAGGAAAAGTTTATGCCTCCGCCGCCGCCGCCGCCGCCGCCGCCGCCGCCGCCGCTGTGTTGCAAAGGCAAAAGCTAGTTACCTACTAGTTTAGTACCGCCGCCGCTGCCAGCCGAGTCCTTTTCCTCTTATAGAGTGTAGCGCGCTGCCAGTACACCACTGGACTTTCCAGCGTGAGGATGTAAGGCTAAACTACTCCGTACCGTAGAATATAGATTATACTCTCTGCCGGCAGCATGGCCTCCGGCACTTTGTTTAGTGTTCGTTTTATACTTCGCGATACTTAACTTAAATTTTTTAACATAGCTTTTTTAACCTTTGTGTTGTTGGTTGTGTGATTACAAAGTTTGCGTAAAATAATTGTGGAGTAGTAAACACGTGCGCGTACAGGTTCATTCAACTATACGTAGTAAGTGCAGTTAAATTTGAGGGAACTTGCATCGATTATATTTAATATTTGTTTCTTTAATTAGATGATGTGTCGAACACATGCTTCTTTTTTCTTCAATCAAGGTTTCTAATTGACTTTTAAGATTTTGTAGTAAACGCGCTGAAGTTTGCTTTCAAAATCGAAGTCCTCGATTCTCGTATAGCCGACGATATTCATCGACCGTACGATTTATTGTTCACTCAATAGAAAAAAAATAGCGTTCTGTTGAATTCACTTCGATCGCGTACGTCGCGTTACACTTCCATTCGTTCTGGACTGTATTCAGTTTGAAAAAATAATCAATGGAAAATATAAAGAAACGTCGGCGACTTTAATGATCTTCATTTCGAAATCACGTAACGAAGCAGCAGCAGATCCCATTGTCGTCACAATGGCACATTACCTCGCAACTATGAGTACTTGAAAGACTCGAAAGAAAACATAGCAACTATATTTTATTGTGCAACAACGAGCAACAATAAAAAAGCCACACCTAACATAGGTTTTTATTTTGATTTTTGACAAACAATTGTTATTTACAGTTGTCAGCGAGCCGTTGCAGTAGCGACAGTGACGACGAGGAGCCAGTAACAAAGCAACCTCGCCTAAGTCGCCGTGTATCCACTCCATTATCAACGACACAATCCTCTTCATCTTCGTGTCCATCGTCGTCGTCGTCATCGCAAGACGAGAGTAGTGCCGGTACATGTTCGCGACGTCGTTCATCAGTTCGAGCTAGACGCCAGCTACGAGCTCGATTCAGTCAGCAGGCACCATCGGCACAGCAGCAGCAACAGTCGCAAGCGAGCGCAAGTCACGCGAGCGATCAGAGACCAGCTGCCACATCTTCGTCCTCGTCCGACAGTGACGTCTCTTCCGAGAACAGATTCGTCGACGATGGATCTTACTTCGAGGTAAGAGGGACAGATTTTTATCTAACGAACGACGAGTGTTCGTTGGCGTCGGTCGGAGCCTGGCGCTAAATAATTGTGTCGGCGCACACGACAAATAAAAATTATACGTACGCACGCGACGATTCAATCAGCGGGTCGCGATATTGCGCCTCGGGGACTTTCCTGTCTGTACAGAAGGGAACGGTACTAATGCATTTTGTGTGACTGTTGAAAGAGAAAAAAGCCTACAAGCTCGAGTAGGAGTAGAAGAAGCAAAACTCAGCCCTCCTCATACGTACACCTAAACTCGAGCTTGCTTTAATCATCAATAATTGTTCGCGGAGCAAGGTGCAGGCAACATATTCGCTGCATCATCCTGGCAAAGTAACGAGCGCGTACACGTGCTTATCTATGCGTCCGACGTCTGCGTATATATATGTGTGCATTTTCCGCTCGCTGCACGCAAACGCGAGGTGCATTTTTTATGAGGGCTGCGTGCGCGTTGACGGACGGATATCGATTTTTTGGCTGTTGCGCGCGGAAAAGTACAGCAGCAAAAAACGTGACATTTTTTTGCGAATGGCACGCATGCATAGTCACCGAATTTTAAAGCGACTATGGTGACGCTGCTGAATGAACTAGCGTATTATCAGACGCTTGCCGCAACCAACTGCCGCGTTACCGTAGTTGCGTAACGGTAATTTTGTTCGCACAGACGCTTTTTTACAAGTACTTCAACTATAATTGACGAGTTTGATAGAAAATTAATAAGATACTTGGAATGCGTGACAGGACGATTTGGACGTGCTGTGCGTTGTGAGCGTGAAAGCCGAGGACTTTTCCAACCAAACGAAGCTTTACGCCGGCAAACGACGTCCACGTAACGCATTCGGCGATCAGGGTACCGAAGCCGACATCGAGGAGGCTGATTTGAGCGAGGAGGAGGAAGATAAGAGGGAAACGACCAAGCAGAACATCGCCAACATGACGCCGACGCCGGATCAGCTTCAGACAACGCCGATCGACGAGTCGCGCGACGAAATCGACGTGGCTTGTACTACTGCTAGTGTAGCCGAGCGGACTAAAAGCGACAGTACACCCGCGAACGAGAGTCCTAAGCGTAGGAGAACCGAAGCTGAGGCTGCTGCTGCCATTTTCCACACGTGAGTGTATTGTAAATTGTCGAAACAAGGCACCTTTTTATCTAGGTATTTCTTGGAAACTTCAAAAAAGAATGGAAAGTAAAGAAAATCTAAATCTTGCATATTGACTTGTCAACAAGATAATTGTTATCTTGATAAAATCGCTTATCTCCCGATATACAAGCAAACGCAGTGACGACAATAAACTTTCACTGATAATGACGCACCGCGTCCGCCGCGCTGCAATTGAAAATTACAGTCGGTCGGAGGCCGCGGTCCAATCTCTTTCGATAAGTCACTAGCTAAAAATAAATATTACATGAGCTTTTCAATAGGCGCGTACGCAATCGCAAAATAATTATCTGCATTCGTTCAAATTCATTGAACAATCATCGTTGATTCTCTTGCAGTTCGAACAGGAAGTCGAAGAACTGCGCGACCTTCTATTTCAGGCACATGGACACAGACTCGGAAAGCGAGGATAAGCGTCCTCCTCGTCGTGATCAGCAGCAGTCGGAAGATCGCGGCATTGTGGAGTCATCCGAGGAAGAGTGGACTTTTACATCCGCCCGTATGGACGCTCAACAGCAACAGCAGCAGCAGCAACAGCACAAGAACAGCTACGGGGCGAAAATGCGTCTGAACTTTGACGCTGCGACGGATGCGCTGAACGACAACGACTGCACGAATATGGACGTGCTAAACGGCAATGTTGTTCATAACATTAATATTGAGGAGAACGACCAGCCCACGGCGAGTAATGGAAGTGACGACGAGTACAACAACCAAGAAAGCATCAAGAGGCTTATCCGCGAGGTGAGTTCACCACTTATTTTTTTCATTGCTGCAAAGCTCAACAATATTTTTTCTTTTTCGATTCGTCACCAGCGTACTTTAGTATTTGTTTCGTGCACACGTGCACAGTAGCGAATTTCTCAAATGTAGGTCTCATGTTGCAATTGATTGCAATCTGAGTAGGTTTTGTAAAAGCTAGATTTTATTGGACGCGCGACGTGATAGTTGATACCGAGATTACAATAAGTACGTGTACAGTGTTGTTGTATCCTATGGCAATTGTGGCAATGCAAAGGAAGAGATAACTTCGATGTTGTACAGCTGTCGGAAGTAGTTTTCCTTCGTCGCAGCTAGACATGGAAATATTAGCGAAAGTGAATCAGAGTTGGCGGGTGAATAAATTTTCAAAGAAATGACGTAGAACCATTATTTTGTCGAAAGGTGGAGGTATTGGTACATCAGGAAGGTAAACACAAGCGCAATGTCCCGCCACTGATATTTGACGAAGAGAAGGGCCTGCTCAGTTCACAGAACCACAAAGCCAAGTACGCAAGGATCAAAGAGTGGTTGGCACTCAATTCGGCATTGTGCGTTGAAGGCAGTAACACATTGCAGGTAAGTGCTCTAGTCCAGCTTGTAAAGATAGAAGTGGGGGGAGGGGGGGGAGTAAAAAATCGATTATTGCACGTCGCACACAAGCGAGGGAAGGTTACACTTGCGACGTGACTTCTCATGGCGTGTACGGGTTGTAAGACAATTGATTACAAGCGAGTTTACATTGATTAGTCAGGAATTTTAATGAGCCCGCTGTGCTTCTCTTTCATTGCTTTGATAACTGTATAGCTTAAGACTCGCAGGCTCGCATAATCGTGTACGGATTTACATCTATAACCAACGCTCGGGGCCTTGATCATTAGACGTCTTTGGGATTTATTGATTCCTCGGAAGTCAAAATGGCTTGTCTGATCTGTAATTGTTGACGTGTGATGTGCGAGAACTGTGCTTGTTTGAATTAATAGTAGCTCGAAGGCACAAATTATTGTTATATTTTTACAAGTGGCGTGTCTCGCGTGAGTCGGTTTCTTCATAGGCCATATTTTTGTTTCTTTGTGTTTCTCCGCGATATACACACGAGAATTTTTCTTTTATACGGTTGATTTGCAAGGTCTTCTTAATTTATTTTTTTAGTTATGCGCAATTTAAAAAGTGAATTTATCGCGCACATAAATTAACTAATACGCAAAGTTATCTTGTACCATGATCGAGATATGAAACACGGCATCTTTATAAAGAAACAAAATGGTAACGCGAAATGAATCATTCTTTTTGTTATAGTACTGCCAGTTAACGGTGTCGGAAGCGTTGGATAGTTGCGACGCGAGTGGCGAGTACACGACCGGCGAGTCGGACGTGGAGAAGCAATCAGAAATCTCGGAAGAGGACTTGCATAGTAGCGTAGTAACATGCCGTCTGGCTTCGCAATCCAACTCTGAGGAATTATTAGAAGACCGCCAAAGTCCAATGGTAAAAGAGCGTAGTCCAGTGCCACAGCACAAGCTGGCCGAGACAAGCACACCGAAAGTGGTATTGCGTTCTAAGCGTAAGTCACACACAAGTCCGAGACCATGGAGCGTCTCATGTATCACGCAAATCCGCAAACGTGCTAGTCTCGAGATAAACGTCCAGGAGCCAATCTCGCAGTTCTCCATCTCCGAGACTGCTCTGCATCAGCTTGTTGCCGGGCCTCCGGCTAAATCCGCTTCGCTCGATGCCACGTGAGTTTGCTTCTTCTTACTCTTGTTGCTGCTGTTGTTGTTGGTTCGTTTAAGTTATGCAGTCGACTCGTTTTCTGCTTGAGAGATAGTTGTTTAGTGCTTCGCCGTTGGGGATCGCGAGGAAACCAATGCAAGATTCAAAGCGCACATACCGAGTGCATTTTTCATTCCATGTTGGTTTAATCAATTGATAAAATGATGGCTGGCTAATTGAATTCTAGAATTGTTTATTTTTCAATTGCCGCTCAACGCCGACTTTCATTGCCGCGAAAACTTTTATTTTCAAAAGGAAACGTAAAAGAGAGCAAACAATGCAGAGATTTTACGAGGTCGACGATCCCCAAGGCAATCGCACCGGAGTTTGCACCAAAGTCTACAATGAGTTTCTTTCCTTTTTTCTTTAGAAATGGAAAGCGATCTAGTAAAAAATGGCACACCAGCAATCTAAATGCTCTATTTGTTTTTGTTACAGCGAATCGCGTGCGCCCTTCAATAACTCGACAACGACATTGCTAGAAGAAACGATAATCGGTCAGGATGCTCGCGTGGTGAGAAACAGCTCGCTGCGTCGCAAGAAAAACCGGCTTCGCAAAAAGAATGCGGTAAGCGCCATAATATAAGTTTCAGCCCTTTCTATCATTGTCGCCATCCGTATTGATTGGGCCTTGGACAGGAATCGTTTTTTAACTTGTCATCGATGATTTTAAGAGAACGCGCGCAAATGACGAGGGTTTTCTGAGAAATCGCTTTCGCGGAGATATGCGAGTTGATCCTCTTCGTGAATTATGTATTAACTTCGTCTTTTTCAACATTTCTACGCTGGCTCCATTTTTTTTGTTACTATCAACATCCTCAATTCACTGTCGAACGATTGTTACCAATTGATGAAAAGAAGTAGATATTCATATCAAAGCGTGAATCCAAGTGTCGCACAAACGGTTTTCAAGCAATTTAAATCCATCATAATAGTCATTTAATTATTTCATATTAACGTAAATAGGAAGTAATTAGTCACTTTTCCAAAGTGATTCAGAAACACTTTAAAAATAACTAACAAAAATTGATTTTACAGAGCCGTCGAAGTGAATCGGGCTCGGACGGCATGAACGCGACGAATCATCGTTCAGAAGGTAGCGACGAACTAAGTTCTGGCTATAATCCTCGGTCCGCGCGCAAATCCAGCACTGGTAGCAGACAAAGTCGTTCGTCTCGCACGGCACTGAACGTCTCGACGACGAATCTCGTCAAGTCGGGTTCGTTCTCTGGATACACTGGTTTACACGAATGCGAGGCTGTACAGTGCACGTCCGTCAGCGATAAGCTCAAGACCACCACTCCTTCCGAATCCGAGGAAGAAAAAGAGGAACTTGCCGGAAGAACGTCGCTACGCAACGGACGTGGGTGCACCATGCTCAAGGGAATTCTTTTGGTGGGCAATTTGAATGCTGGGGACAGCGACATCGAAAAGCATAGTTTGAGCAACAACTCGTTTTCAGAACAAGCCTGGGACAACTATCTGGTAAGAAGATTTATTCTTTCGTCTTGAATAATTCAAATTGTCATGTCAGTTCATTCATGATCGTATGATCTTCTGATTTTGTGCACGCTACGTATTTGGATATTGCAGCAGGTCACGTTACATTTGCTTATTTCCATTTTTTTTTTTTCGATGAATCAGAAAAACATTTGTTGTACACTGACAGCGCTTTCAATTTTATTAGCAGACACTTGTAGTCTGATTCCATCAATGTTTATCAATAATAATGCTGTAATGTCAATGTTTTTTCATTAGGAAAAGTACATGAGCGAACCATACAGCGAGGCAGCAGACACAGATACAGCGCGTCGTCTTTTGGATTTTGGTGACGACTACAGAAACTTCCTTGACAGTCAATCGGATTGTGCGTCTAGCTTGGGTGCAGTTCGTTATGTTAGTATTAAACTACAAATATATATTTCAAAAAATACTCTTCATAAAAATCTCAAAGTAGCCCGCTAATAAAATGCAACATTTTTTATGTTTAGCAAAAAAGCAGCACCGTCGTAACGGATGAGAGTGACAGCGACTCCGAGTTTAAGCGTTTAGCGGAGACATCGCGCAAGCAGCTTCTGTTATCAGAAGCTCGTTGTAATACCATGGCTGATGGTAGTTTCGTACGTACCGAACAATCCGATTTCGATAATCGTAAAAAGTATCGGCGCAACTTTTGGCAAACCTTTAGACGCATTTTCATCAACTTTGTTAAACGTTGTTATTCGTTCATAAAAATTTGCGTGAGAAAATTTGTTAACACTACTTTCAATTTGATTTCCCGTGTGAGCCGTTTATTCATCTGTCCTTGGAAATTATTTTTTTAAGCCTTCACAAGTAATATTTTTGTTTTGTTTAGACATGCTAACTATGTTGTTTGATACTTACATTTTTTTATCGCTATTTGTAGAGTATTGTAAAAATCAATGCAATTTTATTTTTCTAGTCTATACCAAATAGTAATACGATAAAAATTGACTGTCTATTAATTTTTCTATTAATGTATAGTAAATGAGTATTGTAACGAATTGAAAAAGGATAATTATCAATTACTGTTTGACTACTTTGTTTTGTCTTTAAAATACTACTTGAAAAATGAGACAATACTGAGAATGTAAGAATTTCATGATAAACCGAGAGTTACCTGATTAGATATCAATAATACTGAAAAGATTTAATTGTATTAGAAAAAAAACTTTATTATGGACGAAAATTTTTATAACATGATTTTTCTGAAATAATAAGATTGAAAATCTAACACTTTTCAATTTCGCGTTCATAATCATTCATAAAAAATAAAATTCAATAGATTCTCTACTGTATTTAAATGAATTAACTTTCTTTGGAAGAATGGTTCCAATGTTAAATGTTGTGTTTATAAATATTATCATTGTATGGTATTTTTCTAAATGTTGTATATTTTTTGTCGAATGTAGATTCCTGTCATCACTTAGTTTTAAGTTATTGTATTCTAAATCACCTGCACTTCTGCATCTCTGCTTTTTTCTTTCTAAATTTTTCACTTCTCACTTATTAAATATAACAGATAACAGATTCTTATATTTCTTAATTCTATTGATTACATTATTATGCCTTGATTAAAGATATTAAAATCATATTTCTTAGTTTTATTGATTACATTATTATAATGCCTTGATTAAAAGTATTTGAATGTATAAAATTTCTTTTTTTTTTAATTCAATTAATACAAAAAAGACTGATTATAAATGGTTATATTTAATTTTATTAAGTTGATATTGGAGGGTAACAATTATTGAACGATTAAATAACTTAAAAATATTACAATTATTTCTTAGAATTTTTCTAAAGATAAACATAAATAATTTTATTGTAAAATGACATCTTTACTGCTTTGAAAATAAAAGCTTATTTACGTGCACCATTTAGTTTTTGCTTATATGTCTTTTTAGTTACTAACCTTGCTTGAGTAATCTTGCCAAATAAATATCTACGTAATAAACTAATTATCCAATTTTTTCTAGTTACACCTTTGATTGCTTACCCACTACCTTTCTCTAGCTGTAATCTATTTACTTTTCAATCAATAACGCTTTATTTCTTATGCTGTTGTGAATAACAATCAGTACTTATTTGATTGAATTTGTTATGCTTTTTTATAATATGGATCTGCAGTCTTGGCTTTATTAAAATTAAAGTCTGCAAACACTTTTATAAACATCGCTTGATTGCCGTTGCGTGCAGGTAAATAATTTAAGAAAATTTATGCTGTCGGCGACGAAAAAATTGAGAAAAGAAAGAAGGCCGATAAACTGATCGGCGATATTTAAATGTGTTACAGAACGAATTGGCACGTATCTGTCGAGAGAATATAAGGTGCCTGCAAACAATATCCGAGACGAGTGGTGGATCCCGTCGTAGTGACAAGCATGCCAAGCAAATTCGTGGTGAGTACCGAGTAGCAGAGAAACCGGCGGCGGACGATTCTCTTACAAGGCCGTCGCCGATGATAACACGACTCTGGTGCGTGACGGCTATCTTCGTCACGGCACTCAAAAGGACATGCCTATACGTCCTCGTTGTTTTTGTTACTCCTGTATTTTTTTTACGCATTTTCTCGCTATTCTCCAGTATGTAGTATAACAATGTGGCTCTGCCTCCGCTCACCTTAAACTCAGACTTTTTTTTGCCGAGCTTCGGGAATCGATTTTATTTGTGGCTTACAGCAAACTCGTGACTCTCGATCCTGTCACATTGACTGATGTCTTTACTACGAGAACAATGATCCTGCACGATGTTATAACGTGTGAGGTTGCGGTTTGAAAGTCGTTAATTATGAAACTCTAACGACATGTTGTAAGCCACTTCTACATCTTCACCTAAACGTTGTACTTGATGTCCTAGTCTTTGTTATTAATTTTATTTGGCAATGTATGTGTCACATTATTTTCTTTTATTTATTCATGTTCAGCTTCAATTGTTTCATTAGCAGTAAGAATGTTTAGAAATCTTTTATTTTATTTTGCATTATTTGTCAATGATCACTATAACGCATGATTATAACGCTTCATATTAATGATAGTCTAAAATTAATAGATTTTAATTTTTAGTAGCTATTGAGATAATTTTATTTTCATTTTGTTTCACTCATCATCATCGCTTTATTTTGTTGATTAATTTTATGAAATTATTCAACATTGTATTCATATTCATTACTTAATAAATTCATTTTATTATTGATATTTATTTACTAATTATTACTCACGCCTCTTGAAGAATGTTAAAAAAACTGCTTCTTCTTCTGCTTCTTAATGGAATAATGCACGTTACATATTTATATGGATTGATTCTGTGTAAACGTAAGCAATAATTTTTCGAGTATTAATGAGAAGTTTCTCGACATATATGACTAGTCGAGAGCTATATGAACCTTACGTTAAATAAAAAAAGGTAAAAATTTCAAAGAAATCTGCACTGCACGTAAGAGGATAAGCATTTTAATAATATGTAGCTATTCTTTGTCTGTATAATGTTGTAACTATGTAAGTAGTTTTGTCGTATGAAATATAAATAACATAATATTCTTTTTCGAGCGGTATAGACTTGAATACGTCATTTAATATGAAAAAAAAATGATTAAAAATAAGAGGGTAGATTAATCGACGAACGAATTACATTAGTCTACTTACAAAGCTGCATATCTTAAAGATCAGTTTGAGCTCACATGTCACAGATAAATCTTAAAGAATTAAAGCCATTAATTCAAACCCCAATTGCAATAACAACAAATAACGTTTGTTACGGTCTTCGTAAATAAAATAAAAATCAGATTTATCGTAGAATAATAAAGAGATAAGCCTTGAACTCGGTGCACAGCATGCAACAGCATTTGACAAGTTAAAGCAACGAGATAGCGTAGTACAGGTAGTAAAAGTCGACGTCGCCCACGGGTAAATCCACGAGCGAAAGTATGTATAGTATCCTGGCATTATATCCATCGCCTTGCAAATTTTACTAGATGGCGGCCACGGCGCGTCTTCGCGAAGTAGGGGCAACTGGTTCTCGGGCTTTCTTACTACTTTACCGCTGCCGCCAGTCTTACCGCGGCCTTCATTTTGCGCACTTCGTTACGTTAACCATCTCGTAGCATTTTTCACTTATTTTTCCTTCTGCAACTATTGTATGTTACAACGTTTTATGGTTATTATCGCGTAAGCGCAGTTATTATGTCCGTGCAGACAGACTACATCAACGCTGATAATAATCGTACGTATGATAAATAATTTTGGTTATTGTTTGCTGTGTGAATTTTTGAGATATTTGATAGGCGCGATAACAATTTTCAAACAGATTATTATCTGAAGACTCTTGTAGTTATAGTCAGCTAGTCGCATGATCTTTTCTTTAAGCTTCGGCGCTAATTAATGACGTCAAGATATACTTAATATTACAGATGTTTTAATATTTTCATATGCGCAACGACGAGACTTTTGCTTGAAAAATCTATCGATTTCTTTCGTTTTCCTGATAAAAACTAGGCAAAGATAAAAAAAATGCGATGCCTAATCTACCTAAACTTGATTAATAGCAAAAATCAGTTTCGTCTTCTTTGTTCAATAGCTTTACAATGATCTCACTTTTTAATATTATCAAATTTGATTGCTATCTGATAAGAAGCCGAAGGCGGTCTTTTTTAATCAGCCGACTAATGAATTTTGCCTGCAGTAACAATTCCTGATAAGATAAGTACTAGGTCAATGTCAGGACGCACGTCTGTTTTACTTTTTTACTCTCTGCTAATTGTGTTCTTAGTCGTGCACTTTGTAGTCTGCACACTCGCGTTCATTCTAACGCATGCTATTGGGACTAATCGAGTAACGTCTTAATTATCATTGAAAGTATATGAGATCAAACATTCCACATTATTTTATCTTGCAAAGTTTGAGTAACATTAATTTCTTTTTCAAACTCGGTAATTATTATTAGTTTTCACTAGCAACTGAGTAAACTACTGAGTTTTAGTATTCATTCTTGTATTTACCTTCGGTGAAATTTCATGTCTTGGCAGATTGACAAGATTATTCTGCATCTCATTAAACAATCTCTACACGCTCATAAAAGAAGTTGAATCGCACTTTTGAGAACTATCTCAAGTATACAAACCTCGACCTCAAAACTATTCTTACCTGAACGAAAATCTACCTAGAAACACGTCGATCAGTTATAGATATACAACTTCAATAAAAACCTTTCACGCGAGGCAGACAAGGTTTCTTTATAATACCAAATGAGTCATATATCGTAACAGATTAAAAATGTTCCGTGTTCGTGAAATAAGTGGCCTATGCCAATTTTTGAATTAGAGAGAGAGAGAGAGAGAGGAAGGAGGGTGAGAGATTGTATACTTTGCTGTCTCGCCTTCGCTAGCCATATATCGCGCGTATAATAAAGCTATGCCCATTTTTAGCGATGACGTCAGTGATACTCTACATCTCCTCGCGTATGCTTATATGTGTGTTGTCTTACGAAAATCAGGTTTTTGCATAGCAATCACATCTGCGCTGTTCTAAAGGAAAGAGTAGCTTACATGTGAAATGTTTTATATACTAGTCTCTTGCGTACGTTTTCTTTACTTCATGCTAATTGAGATGTGCTGACGAGCTTTTCATATATTTATACTCCTCCATCACTTTCTTCTATCAATCCATCATTGAAATTCTTAATGTAAAAAAAATTGTTCGACGGTTATAGTTATGGTATTGGTTTAGCGAGCTCATGAGAAACGACTTTAGGTTTTCAATCAATTTCATACAGAAGCCACTATACTCAGTTCACTGGTAACATGTACTGTTTAAAATAATTATAAGTAAATTTGCACTTGCCACACGCCTCATCATTTAGAAAAGAATGGCATACCAAAGAAATTACTCTTCAAGTTTCTCAAGATAGCTGAATAATGCGTCAACTTTTTTAATCGATTGTAGAGTTGTGCACGAATCAATTCTTTCTCTTTGTTGTAATAGAATTGTACACGTAAAAAACATTATAAGATCAAAATTGACCCTAGCGCAATTTTTTTTCATCTTAACAATCCATAATGAAAACACTGGATTTTCCTAAAAGGTTCTTGTATGACGCAATTATCAAGCTTACAATAGCATTTCATGCATACGTGGTTATTCTCAAGACAGAACAAAAAGATTGAACAACACGCATTGTCTTTCGTTCGGATGATCTATTATGAACTTATCACACTTCCAGTTGGTGTGCCTATAAACACTGATGATGTGTAATTCTGTTGTATCTCATTGTAATTTGAGCGCAATGATAAATTTTAACGTTCGTCAAAGACATTTTCTCGACATAAACATAAAACTCTTTTCTTTACTCATCGCGTGATCTCGAACCTGTACGTATAGTTAATTGGTGGACGCGTTCTTCTAACGTATAATTTACCTCGACGATCTAACGGTGTATTTTATCGCTCGCAGGGATTAGAACCAAAAATCTAGTTATTATACTTCATCTAGATGCAATTCGTGGGAACTGGGAAGCGTTAAAAATTGATTTACTTGAAAATTGGCTTAGTTTTTTGAAATAGTGATCTGCATGAATAAATTGCGCAATAAAAACGTTTTGATTCAAGCATTTTAATTAAACCCGTCAACGCGGTAAATTTGTGTCGATGATCGATTCAACAGTAAACAACGGCGCACACAGAAGCTCATCTCATTCTCGTGCGACGGCGGCGGTCAATCAAATAAACGGTTTAGCAGAGCAGCGTCGGCTGACGGTACAGTGCTTTTCTGTGCCGGCGCTTATTTAAAGGCCGGCCCCGTTCTCCGTGTCGCAATTGCACTTCTGTTTGGTCTTAGAGCAGTCGGCGCCACATAATACCAATCCAGCACCAAAGAGGAACGAGAATCGTCGTCAGCCGTTAGGTGTCCCTCTGCACGCGGATTCGCGGAATGACATATAAAAAAACAGCGAATCGAACAGAACAACGTAAAAAAAATGAATGAAATGAAAATGGAGAATAGACGAGGTCGTGGTTTCTACGCAGACATGAAAAATATCTTCCGTGTCTACATATTACGAATTAAATTATTTTCGAAAACGCAGCTGCCAAGGATTGATTCGTATTTGCGTGTAGAACACATAGTTGACATGCGCGAGAGAGTTTATAAGCAAGGACAAGTGTGAGTTATACCGGTAAAACATGAGGATTGCAGGCAAGGTTTTCGTATGGAAATAATCATTACATTGCTCCTGTAAATAACCCTTATATTTATAACTCATAAAATATTTGTAAAACCGGTACGCGAAGCTTTTGCAAAGAGCTTCAGGCAAAAAATTTCATTTTTTATATTGCAAAGTTTTTGCATGGTAAAACAAAACAAAAAAATACATCGGTGTATTCTGCTGTGAAAAAGATATAATTCGTAAAATTTTACAATTAGAAACAGTCATAAACAGTCAGCTTTGAACGATGTCCACTTGTAAAAATAAATACGAAGCCGATGATAATCAGGTCATGGAATGCATAACAGTTTTGAAAATTATACTATGCGAGGTGAATCGTTAAAGCCATACTTCTTGTTTGGCTCATTGCTAAAAAGTAATAAAGCGTTCACTTTGGAAAGCTCATGGCAATGTCACTATAAAGAAACGCAGGTTGGCTTTTTCAAACGTCCGGCAACTTTCTGCTACGTGGTGAAGGATACGCTCGTTGGGCCGTCACGCTTAAAGACGTTTCAAGCATAGGAAGTAATTTAACAAATGCAGTTGACATGCTATCCATTAGTAATTCTTTTATACGTGAACAATGAAACGCTTACCTACAATCGAATGCGTTCTTGAAATTGAATAACACAAATATTTTAATGAGTAAAACAAGCTTTATAAACGTATTTGTAAAATTTGTTTCTTACTTTCAGGCTTAATGGAAAGATGGGAATCCCTCTCACTTCGAGCAGAAGAGTCGCAAAAAATCAATGCTATTCATCGTGAAGTAGCAGCTTTGAAGTTAGAGTTCTGCGCGGCGCACGAGAGACTTGCCTCTTACCAAGTTGTTCTAGAAGAGCCACATATCATTGAAGATCGTATCAATAGGATCACGGTAAGCTCCTTACCCTTTACATACGATGATTTTTACTTAGTTTGAAGTAAAACAGACATATAATAAATAATTAATTTGCTGAAAATTAAGAATTAAAAGCTCTCGAAAAAAGAAATGATACTTCGAGTGCGCATACATAAAGCCGCATACGCGTATACAAGGCATTTCAAGTTCATACGTGCAAATTATAAGTTTTTACGAGCTAACGTGAGACCATATGAGGCAATCCGGTCTGTATATCAAAGCAATGAAAAATGTTCTGTAGCAAAAATTAATTACATAGCATGGTGCGTTCGCTAACAATAAGCAACAAAATGAAAACCGATCTCACAAATTCCCAAGACGCACCGAGCGATTATTTTTTTATAAACAACTGGTATTTATTGGTATGAAAACCTGGTGTAAATGATCAAAGGACAACCGGTTTTACGTGTTGTGACTTTCAAGAGCGGGAAAATCACTTGAAGATTTCTTCAGCGCAACAGTTCAAGAACACCCACAGCTTTAGGTTTGACGACCCAAAGTGAAAGTGTTTCGCTCATCCTTTCCGTGCAGAAAAAGGCAAAGAATACCAATTTCGCGGGATGTAACTGGTTATATACACGCCTCGAAACGGGAAAACCAAGGCTAAATACCAGATCGGCTTTACGGGATCATTCGATTTCGCGCGTGGACATGAAAAAAAATTAGGTATTTCCAAAATGTGTTTTGCTTGCAGTTTTCTACAGAGTACTACACGGAGTATGATTGCTATCTATACACTACACATCGTGTTTGATCGGATTGAAATCGATATGTGCTCATTGAGTTTACTTCTAAAATAATGATACTGTTTGCTTAACCGCTATATTGCAATTTCGTCGACCTAAATAGAGCCTAAACCTAAACAAAATTGTTTTTGTATTTCGAAACTAAAAAAAAAAAAACTGCGGAAATTACTTCCCGTATCTAAAACATGTTATAAGCAAAATTAATTTTCGACGTTGTTGAAAGATCATATAAAGATGTAACTTTTTAATCACTATTTGTGGCAGTATATACGGTCAAGATAAGCGATACTCATTAGTTAAAATGGCATCTAATTGCGAATTCCGGCATGATACTTTCTTAAAATACTTTCTCCATGTGAAAGTAATGTATCATTTAAGACACACGCAAAATTACACTTGTTAACTCAAGCACATAAAGCATTTTCTATCATACGTAAGTTTTTATTAAAAAATTATAGTAATAGTATAATCGTGTCACAAATCTATTTCTATGATTAACTGAGCAAAGAATTTCATTCGAAAGCTACTTATACTTGTTCTATATAATTATCAACTTTTTATAATTTCATCTGTACTTAATTGCTTGATAACGACTGGTTTTATCTGAGGTGCTGAATAACGATATATTATTATATTTGAGAAAGTAGAGCGGAAGCGACGATTGAATGCATATTATACTTAGTAAATATGACATGGCATTTTAAATTCAACTGATCTGCAAATAGTTGTCAAATGGCGATAATTTATGGCTTATTTTATACACGGCATACTTATCGAAAATTCAATTTCATTGGAAAGGTACATTCAATCTTCGAATTCAAAAGATTTAATATTTGGTATTGCTATTTTAAATAGTAAATTATAGATGAAATCACTTAAAAAATCGATTAATTGCGTACTCGTTAAAACAGCTTGTTGGCTCCTTTGTTTATAGGGCAATAGCGACTTTGATTTCTAACTTTATGCTTACTCTTGCAATTTGAAGTCTTAAGTGCGCCCTACTGGCACTTCTCAAACACGTTACGTCTTCTTTGTTGCCTAATCGAATAAACATAAGACAGCTCTCGTTGTTTCGTTCATCGAAGTACAGCAGTAACTGTTCGTGTGTTAAAATGTAAATATCGTTTAACATATCAAAGCAACTTCAGCCTTTGTAATTCAAGAAACATTTTTAAATATTGAAAACTTTTGAAGTGACGTAATTAATATTTTGTACTCATGTTGCTATCAATACGAGGAAACGTAACACTATATACTCGTCTTATTATATAATTATACTTTTCTAATCAACATCTAAGGACTATATCACATATGCAAGCGATTTAAATTCGATACTTACTCAATACTTATTAGGAACGTGGATTAATAAAATAATATCAAATGAACGTGATGGATAAAATGGTTTGTTTATTATTTTTAGAACGAACTGGCTAATTTAAGAGACCGCAAATCTGCTATGCTTGCATTGAACGTTTCGACACATCGCCTCATCACAGATCTCGGCCAAAAGACATCACCTACTTTTTCTACCTTGAAGGATGGAATAGCAGACTTGTATCGACTTTGGGACGAAGCATTTCAAAGGTAAGAGTTTGTACTTCTATCTAAAGTTTGCCGACTTATTTAAAAATGATGTTTTTAACCATCTGTTAATTGAGGTGAATAAAATATTTCTCCATTTTTCTTGACTATTAGATCATTAATAAAAATCAGTTTCCTTGTTTGAAATTCGAAGAAAGCTTAGTGCAACCTTATGCTATTTATAGAGGAAACCAGCAGCTGAGTGCATTTCAAGCAGTCCAACAGTTCGGTCAGAGGCTTACGGAACTTCAGTGCGCTCTACGCAGAGACAAGGATACTTTGGCAGTGTTGGACGCAGCTTTGCAAGCTGGAGCAACAATGGAGGTAGCTTCGTCGGTAAGAGATGTCGCGCGACTGCTTTCCGAAAAGCACGAGACCAACAACCAGGTAAGTTCAGATTGCCCAAGTATATATTACCTCCAAAATTAATAAAAAGGTAATCTTTTTTCAAAAATTAAATTTCTCTTTTTTATTCACAGAGCGCCATGCTGACGGACGCAGCTTTGACGATATCGAGCAACGACGACAGTGGTAATGGAACACAAACGTCATTCAACGATTCAACACCGTCACCTACTTGCTCTTTAGTTGGTCTCGAGGGTGGTTCACTCTCTGACAGTGGTATTTCCGACAGTGGTAGCGAGCAGGAACTGAGCGAACGCGAACGTCGACTTGCAGCGTTACGTAGACTCACTCGAACACTCGAGTCACAGTTGGTACCCAATACCAGTGATCAAGTGCTCACTGAGCTCTGGCATCGTGTCGAAGAAGCCGAAGCCGAACTACGTAACCTGCAGTCGCAGTGTCGTGAACTCATCGTTCGCACTGCTGCTAGCGTCGAGTCGCGAACTAACGTCAGACCTGACAGTACTACGGTTTATCCAGTTCCAAGGTATGTTTTTTTTATCTCTTCTCTTCTTTTTATTTTTCTTCGTATCTTATTTTAATTTGAAATTTTCTTTATTATTGTAGCAAACGCAAGAAAACTCCGGTCATCGAAACACCTGTTCCGAACGAAAAGGTACGCGTAGAAAAACTTGCAAATTACGTAACAGCAGCAGGTGACCCCGAAAAGGATCCACACGTACCGCGCAGTTGGGTATGGCGTATCTTGCGTGCAGCTCTGCCGTTCCAGTTGGCTATAGTCGTGCTTTTCTGCGCGGCCTGCTTGCTCGAACCGAGTTGTTGCGAGGCGGGTAATTCACTCAACCTATCGTTGACACCACAATTGCGTTACGTGCGTGGACCCCCACCAGTCTGAACTGTCGGATTTTGAAAAACACGCATGCAGATCGATATTCTGTATGGATGGTTTTTACTGTCTTGGTACTTCAGGCAATGGTAATGATGAAGATTCTTCCGGAAGGATATTTCGAGAATTACATCAGGTCGTGGTACAGGATGATGTGCGGTGAGTATGCTCGTCGTCGATGCCTTTCATAAGGGGACAACGACGAGCAATACATAGGAATGCTGTGCCCAATATTACAAGGAGCTCCGTGAAATGTCTACGTACCTTTGAGGTTGAACAAAACGTAGTCGTAAGGTGTGAATAGAGAGAAATATAATGAAGCAAGCTAACAAGTAAGAGCTTTTAGGTACAGTTGCGTTTTTGCCTGTACTCTCATTGATTCGCATTTTCAGAGTTTTTCGATAATTTTTTACGAGAATTTTTATTAGCCAAAAATCTTATTGAAACAATTAAAAATGATGTGTTCGAGTATCAAAAGTCGGAAGTGCTCGTCAAATAGACTGAAAGTGCGGATGGTTAAGGAGTGATGATTTTTGTAATGAAAGAATAATTGCTTGATTATACTGAACTAAATAAGCAACAAATAGACTGAATATATCAATTGATTATTAGTTCATTACAAAGAATGTAAAATATTTGATAAAAACATAAATCAGGGGCATTTTTACAAAGGATGATGAAAGAGCAATAAATAATAAAATGTAATGAGCTTTTGGAAAAGTGCCAAATTTTAAAGTCAAAAAAGTGTATTTTATAATAACTATGTGCCTTGTGACATCAGATTTTCTATTTTCTATTTTCGACACACAAAAATATCCGAACGATAATGTTTTTGCTCTCACTGTAAATACTTTTATAAATTATGTCCCTGATCAACATTTTTTGAACATTTTTTATAAAAACGTTGTGCAGTTCATATACATAAAAATTATGATAAACATATACTGCATGCTAGATAGAACGTTCTTTTTTTAACGTCATTTTTCATTGATGGCACGTAGGCTGAATATGAAACGAAATATTTCAAGAATGCTTCCAATTATGCAAAAGTGGAACAATTAATTTATTAAATTTATTAAAGATCATCGCAAAGTAATACGCATAATAATAATTGTTTTCTACTTCACTTGAAAACATAATAAGTGAATGAAACATAAAAGATGTGTTTAGAAACCATCAACTAGTCATAAAAAAAGAGAAGGCCTTCGTGCTTCTGTTGTTTATATATTTTTTCGATGATTTTGCTTTCATTGATTTTTTCAGCAATTTCATCAAATTCATTTATTAAAGTTACTTTGTTTAAAAAACATTGAAATAAATAGTAATATTTTATAACTTGAATATAGCTTGACAAAGCATTTAATTGATAGTAAAATTTTTTATACCAGAAACTATCATGACAAGCTACTAAACAATCAAATACCTTTATCAGAGACATGCTACTTAAAAGAAAAGCATTTATATAAAAAAATTGTAGTGGCTATACAAGTCTCATAATTTTATTTTTTGTGAATAGTGATAAATAGAAACTAATCGTACTATTCTTCATAACCTTTTTATTACTAGTTTGTTATATTTGTTGATTTTAAAAAGATGTAAAGATTTTGACGTTGACATTTCTTGAGGAGCTGCCTTCATAAAACTACATGCGTAGAATTTTACGCAAAACTTGTGAAAAAAGCGATTGCACAAACTACAAAAACATTTACCGTTATGGTAAATGTTGTGAAAAAGAGTACTTATGCATATTATTGCATTCTTAACTATCTCGAATTTCAAATTCGAGAAAAATATAAAAAAGATAATATAAAAGTCTGCGAATATATATGTAAATAAATATATATTTTAAGAGAGCTTATGCAATTTACCATATCAGCTTTTCCGTTGATTAATGGTGGATTTTTAGCTGCTGATTTACATTATTTCATCATCAATATGTCAGTGTTTTTGATATCCTTTTCTTGTTTGGATTTATTGATCAAATTATCCAAAGAACATGTTTAAAAAACTAAAAGTATAGAGTCTAAACGTTGGTATGCATGACATTAAAGTCACACTCTAAAAATGTAATAATATTTAGTAGAGCTTCAAAGAAGCATCTGTCGATTTATTTTATTGAGTATATGCTAATACACGTATAAAGTTGTAATATATGTTAGCTTTTTTTTGAAGTATCTGACGAGCTCCATTAATACGTTCACAAGTATTTATAAATACACATACGTATCGGAATTGGAATGGAATATATCTTCATCTCAAATATAAAAAGTATCATAAGAATAAAACACATTTTAATTACGATTAAAATGTCTATACATACTCAGTATATATTGATCATCTTAGAAAAACATCGTTAAGAAGGCAAGAAATTTATTTGATATATTTTTTTGCCTACTGCGCATAAAGTGCGTCTTGAAACCCGGGTGTCCGGTTTCACAATACGCATTTTACGCGCTGTAGGCAAAAAAAAGTATATTAACCACGGGAGTGAAAATGGCAAGCCCCTAGTACATGTTTAACACCCTCGGCTTCGCCTCCAGTGTCAATTTACACATGCTATGAACTTGCCAATACTTTCATTCCCTTGGTTGAAAATGTTCTATATTTAAAATATTTTTTCACACTAAAGTGTCTCGAATAAATTTTTTAAAATTAAAAGAATATCAAAAAGACTGACTAAATTTACATTTGTTGTAGCAAAATGTGAGGCGCAGTATCTACTTTATTTGTCGCTATATTGTTTGTATAAAGTACCTGAAAGTAATAAGAGCTATTATTTAGTTATCGTATAAAATGATGTTTAAGTTATAAGTGCGTGAAATTTTTTACTGCCGCGACAATATATGATTTATGCATGATTTATAGATTTACGAGTTGATATAATTAAAGTAGTTGAGTTTTTTTCAAACACTCTTGCAAATGAACAATAAAGTTTTGAAAATTGAAAGTTGGAAGATAACTGTAATCGATTAAGAACTTTACTGCTGATTTACAAGTGGACTGCTTTCGAGTGTACTGTCGATTATACGTAATTGTTAGAAAAAGCAAACGATCCATCGTCGTACCAACATTTTACAATGTGTGCCATGATGCTGTATCGTTATGCAAAATTGGTATTAAATGGCATACCTTTTATTTTAAGTTAAATCATAATTTTTTTTCTTTTTCATTAACTGCATTTTCTATATCGTAGTTTTACTTTCTTGAAAAATTTATGAAAAAACAACAAAAAAATAGTAAAATAATGGATTTTATCAATGGTAAGTCGTCTAATTTCTACTTGGAAAAACTATTTTGTGAGGAGAAAGTTAAACAACTGACAAGGGTTGATAGTAATAGGTGATCCTCATACATGATTGCGTGTAAATAATCAATAAAATCATCATTGTTAAAATGAGAAATCATCGAATGAAAACTTCAAACTGATGATAATTTTTTGAATATTGTCATACTACTTCATCATTTGATGGCGTACGCTAATTTAGCGTTCAAAAACAATGAGCGTCCATATTAAATAGTCATATCAAAAACTACTGTCCGATTTTCATTGCCGACAAATTTTCTTTCGCTACCAAAAACCAACATTTACATGCAACTAATTTTTTGGAAATTTGTTTGTATTTTGTCGGTGGCGATAGCTTAGCGTTATGGTCGGATTGAATACTTTTTTAACTACCAAAACTGCCTTTGAATAGCTGGGCGTTAACTTTGATTAGCGCTCATTTTCACAATCATCATAATGTCGACACCAAACGTGACTATTGTTAACGAGCGACTTGAACGCTCTTTTATCAAAGTAAAAGTAAAGCGGTTTTTTTGGCGAATATATTGCCAAACTATTAATTAAGTGCCTTTTTACACGTACGAACGTTTTAAAGGTATGAAATGGAGAAAGGAAGTCACCGAAAAGCAATAAAAAAACAAGAAAAAAAAACAGAAAAATATTAACAGAAAAAAATTTGACGCTGACTGTTTAAATTTGCGTCGACTATAACCTTAATGTATGAGTGCAGTGTGTACGTTTCATACGATTATTACTACGGGCTATTTTATTTTATAATGCGATATGCATGCAATTGTTCCTTAGCTAGTTTCTTCTATAAAGATTATTAGCTCATGCATAATATGAAATAGTTTTAAAGTTTTTTCATACTGTTGCTCATTTACACAATCGTTTCATTCAAGCGTACACGTATCTATTGTGCATGTTGATTTACATTTTATAAACACATATGTCGTGCCATTTCCTCATGAATCATTATATGCTTACTAACATTATAATGTAAGAATGAATTTCAAACAATTTTTCAATTTTACAGAATAACAACGTGTATTTTTAGCTGATTTTCAAAAATAAAGATACGTAAGTTTCAAATGTTGTGTTTTCTTTATTAACGTATGTGGCAGATGATTTCTGTCGAGTCTATAATTTGATACCTATAATCTTTCTTTCTATTACTCATTAAATGTATGTTTGACAGGGTAAAATCGTGAAATATACAATAAACATTTCAATCAACCTTTCATGGACATACTGATTAAAATTGCTTAGGGCAACAACTACCAAATACAAAATAAAATGACTCGTGAAATCATTTATTTAACATATTTAACATATTTATTTCTCTAACCAATGTCAATTTGGTATACTCATCTGAATATATTCATTTTTGTACATAATAATTGTATTCACGTATTCGAGTAACAAAGGATATTCTCACCAAGTTTTTCTATTTCTTTACTTATTTTATTTTATTTCATGTTCAATCTTAACATATTTGGTGATATATTTCCTGAAAAAATTCCATCGATTCGAATTTTTTTAGATAAAAATGGCATAATTTCGGTAGCGAGATATTGTTTGTTTGTGCTTGAGAATAATGTTTAAGATTAACTATTGTTGATAACAAATTTATCAGTGCATTTGTATAAAACTAATGGCTATGATCATTTCACAGTTTTTCAAAAAACTAGCATTGTTATATTTTTAGCTAGAAACAAAAATTGCATACAAAAAAATCTATTGAATGTAGATAAGTAAGAGCTCTCTATTTATGAATCGCCGGTAAGCTGTTAAGGTATCCGCAGTAGGTAGAGAAACCAACCTACAATAAATAGAAGGTATTTGATATCGATAAATCTATGTTTGTTCAATTTGTAAATGGTTAAGATAAATTGAGGGACTGGATTAAAATATGAATTTAGTAATGCTAGTTAATGATATTTAATTTATATTCAACATACATGATAGTGGAATAGACTAAGATATTATTGAATGAGAAGTTACCATGCAATAACATTTCAATAATTAACATATTTCAAACAGTTGACAGTCACAGTAAAGTCATTCGATCGTTTAGTAGTTTGTTTATATCTTCTAGAGAAAAAAGAAAAAACGGGATTTCTCTTCTATTACAAATATTAGCATTATTGAATATATTCATATTATTGCAATAGATTATCTATCCATGACTTGAAAATACAAATATTGCAATTTGACGGAAATAGTAAAAGCTAGTTAGAAACAAAAATTGCAACAACGAAAAATCGCATTAAAAAATGAAACGAAATTTTTGGACTAAATGAAAGAGAAAAAAAAGGAAAGAATAGATATTAGAAGTTTTTCTTGAATCAGAAGAAGCGAGGTGGTATCTGTATGTGTGCGTGGGAGTGAGAGAAAGATAGAGAGAAAGAGAGCGGCGTAAAAGCGTAGTCGTGTTGCACGTACGCTCGTCTGACGGCAACGTGCCCGGCATTGCGAATCGCAGCAAGTCTCGCGACCAACCCCCTGGCGAAGCTCCACCACCGTAGCTATAGAGTCTCTGTCGATCTCTTCTGTCTCGCTCTGTTTTTCCTCTGGCTCTTGCTCTTCTTAATTTTCCTTTTAGTAATTGTGTTTTTCTTCCTGTCCACCGGTCCAGTGCTAAAATTGCCATTTTTATTATGACTCCGTTGCGAAATGTTCATTATGTAAAAATGCACCTAAATTTGCAACGACGAATGAAATGAATGACAGTACTTATTAAATAAATCGTTTGACGTTGACAATTTATAATTATCATTGTTTCACCTTACAACCCTACATTCATCGTTATATCTTACAAGGATAGTTAGCACTTCAAAAATACTTTTTTACGTAAATTAAATATGTTAATTTAACTAACGTTAATCTTCGAGAGAAAGAAAGAGAGAGATGGTATAGGATCACAGGATATCTTCATTTGACTGTATCAAGGCTAAAGTGCAAGATATTTCCGAATAACTAAATAAATTATCGTTGCTGAAAATTGCCTGTCAAAATAACTAATACATCAAATTTGATGATTACAGCTTTACCAGCTCCTATTCGCAATCACGACACACAAGGCTTCTGTGGTGTACAATTGCGTATACAATTCGTACTCACGCCTCGAATGCATAATGAGGCTTGCGTACGATTTTGATATGTACGGTACAATATTTGCTCGGTGCGTGTATTTCCTATCTTTTCAAATTCATATCTTTGCAAACTTATTTAAATAACGAAACGCGGGTGCAGTTATTAATTCCTGTTTTATTTGTAAATATTTGTAGCTTTTACTCGATGATTCTAAAAAAACAAGATAAATGGTTTCGACGCAGAAATCGTCAGCTGAAGTTCCTATATACACTGATAATTAAACACTCGGGTAAATGACAAAGCTCTTACAGCATTAGCTATTTGTGATGTACAAGACGGACGGCGACGTACGCATTTATGACTCTAATTGGAAACTCTGTGATACTTGGAGAAGGAAACGTCTTGGCGGCCATCCGTCCTTTGGCGCACAGTCCAAGCATCGATGTATACCACGTATAGAGAGGAGCCGAGCTTTACGAGCACTCAAAGTCCCGGTCACACAGAGCTCGAGAGGCATAGAGCAAAGTACAGATCCTCTTGTCTCTCTCATTCTCTTTCGCGTATACATATATATATGCACGCCAATAGCGCAATAGCGAAGCTCGTAAAGCCTCCGCGAGCTTATTTATGCGGCCCTCGTATTTGCCACCACCAAGGTTGCTACTGCCACCGCTGCTGCCCTGGTCTCAAGTAGGACGAGCTAGACGTAACGTGACGAGAAAGTTGCATCCCTCCGAGACGCTGCTAGTGCTGCTGCTGCTGCTACTGCATCTCGCGCCTTGATTTATGAGATTCGTGCAAAAGGGAAATTAGTTTGTTGAGTTTTCAGGCGGGTCCTGCGCTTCGGAGCATTTGCAAAGGTGAGTCGACGTATTTGCTTATGCCAAACAAATGTAGATTGCAACTTTCTACTTCATTTTGATAAGTAATAAAATAATCAACTCCTAAATCAGTTGAAGTTGCTTGCGACTCGAAAACCATCTCTTCGGTTCGCGAAGCTCATTTGGTTTAATATTTATAAAAATTTTGAGACAGAAATTCAACAGCTAACCGTCGTACATTTGCCACTTTTAACCTCTAAATATACCCATTAAAAACTTTCATTTTCAAGTGCAAACTCAAATAAAAAGAGGAAAAAAGCCAAGTAAGTGTATAACGGTGCACGAGCAAAAAGTCTGCTGTCGACTGGCGAGCGTAATCCTGCAGATTCTGGAAAAGTCAAGAGAGCGAGCACAGAGCAGAGCAGTACATCAGCGAAACCTTAAGGGCTTCCCGCACTTACCGAGATCGGGGTAATTCGTTTGAGTTAAGGGACACACCGCGTGCTCGGCAGTAAAAATGTATATTTGATGAAGACCACGGATGAACCAAACTCGGCGCAGACTTTCTTGCCCATACACGGCTAACTTGCTTCGGCTGCGGTACATATTCAACGCCGATGCTTCGCTCGTCTGGATCGAGCAGAACAGCGATTCTATTCCGGCAACTGCAGTCTCTCTTCGTCAGTCTCATTTTTCTTAATCTTCATACGAAGGATATTTACTTGCCGAGCCAACCGATTGTTCCGGCGCTCGAATGACTCCAACTTGAAATAGTCTTTCCAGAATTACAGCGTGCGATTGAGCCTACGTCATCGGCATTACAGATCCTCGCTAAGGCCAAGATAATCCCGTGACGTGGGTCCAAGACTGTGTGTAACCCTCGCGTTATATACACACATGCTGCTGCGCAAGCTCGAGGCTCGAGCGTTGTCCACTGCTGATGGCTTATTTCGGCGTTTGCTTTCGTGGCTTCATTACCTTTCACAATATTTGCACAAGCGACTCACTCCGTCGAGCCGAGCGGCTCCTTTTCTCATCAACCGCTTTTGCCCCTTTCCATTGTGCCAGTGAATTTGTCAGGGATTTTGTCGGCTCATGTGTATAGCTATTCTCTTCTTCACTGTATGTAGGCTTCATTTGCTTTGCTCTAAGCTAATCAACTCCAACAGAGTCAAATTGGCCTCATTAGATTTCCTCGTGTATTTTGAATTAATAGCTATTTTGGTTTATTACGCAAATACGCCTGAAGAAATCTGTGCAGTAAACGGACAGCAAGATTCATTGTTCATATCTGCCAACGATACGTAATAATTTCAAGCATATAGAATTAATGTAGCCAAAACCACTAGATGTATCAAACCCATTCTTGACTGGGTCAAGCGCGGTTAAGCTCGGGTACTTTACATACATAAAATGGCCATCAGCAAGGGGGATCAAGTGCTTCAGCTGAGAAATTAAAATGGGGATTTGAAACATATCCCATCTCTGATATACATGGAAACATATTTTTGATTCAGCTGTAAGTATATCGCAAATACAATCGCTCATATTACAATTCCGAATATTGATCTTTCTTCAATAATAGATTGCAGTATGATGGATATTCATGCGGTTGAGCTTCTTTCTTAGATAAGGTATCGAAAGAAAAGAACGTATAGCTGGAAAAGAATCGATTTTCAAAGATCTATTGCGGGCTGCTGATAAATTTATTACGCGTCTTAACCGATGCACAAGTACGTGCACCGTGCGCACACCTTGCTTTGAGTCTCGCGTTTAAAAGAGTGCTCAAAGTCTTAGTGCCACATGGCACAGCATTGAAGACTAGCGAGCGAGAGTACGTGCAAGGAGATTTTTGTCGTTACACTCAAGTGACACGCACAGAGACGTTTACAATACACAAGGGGATAATTTCATCCACTCTCTCGTTTCTACTTTTATTTTCTCGCGCGCGCCTATACCACTTTTACTTGTCACGGCGTCGCCTTGCTTATATATATATATATATATATATATATATATATATATATATATATATATATATACACACTGCGCGATCTCTCTTTTCATGAATTATCTCCGGTGTTTGCACCACTTCGCGCGCGTTCGCGTTATAAATTGCTCTGTACCAAGCTCTCCTCCGCAGCTGTTTCTTTCGATCTCTCCAGCGCGCGCGAATAAATTAGCAGTTTTTCACTAAAGTCGGATCTGTCGAGTCTTACGAATGAAAAACATTCATTTCCTCTTTCTTTTATTCTTTCATAAATATATGACTTTCTCATTATCTCCGGATCTTCTAATTCTATGCAATGCAGTTTTAACACTATTTATTCCTTAGTAAGTATTGCTATTCAATCATTTTTTCACTTTGATGATATTCTAGTTTGTAGTTTTGGATAAATACTATCGCTATGTCATTTCTCAGTTAAAAATAAATAATCAAAATTTATTTTTAACGTGAATATGAAAATAACTCGTACTTTAAAAATCCAAGAAAAGAAGCAACAGTGAACGTATTTTCTATTCCAAAGATTCAAACGGTAATGCATTTCTTACGATTTCGTAGTCGGTTGACAGGGGTCACTTTAGGTATCAGAAAAAAAACATTTGCATCGGTCAAATATGTTATCCCTTCAGTTTTCTTTTTTCCAATCACACTATCAGTTCCTTTCGATCATTAGATTCATTGGGATCGACTTTTCTTGCTACTATTGTTTTCGCGTAGAAGAATCCTATAAATATTGATAGCTACTAAATAAAAGTAGAAAGAGCTACGAATAGAATACCATTTTTTTTTGTCATACACGCAGATACCTTTCTTTTCGAGGGCGCATTGACTCATATAGCGCCTACACAAATGATTTTCCTCTATATAAGCACCTCCCCTAGGAGCGTCGATCGTTAATCGTTGGGACGATTTTCTTTCTCGGCACGTAGCTGGATAACCCAGGGAATCAGCGTAAAAATACAAATTTAATGCAGCGCTACTATTGCCGTACTGTCCGTTACTGACCAATCTTCAGCCAAATGACAGTTATCTAGACTTCGCTTTTTTTTTATTTTTCTATTCGAGTACAAACTGAGTTACAAAGTTAAAGTCAGATTGCTATTATTTTTATAACGATAATGAATGATAATGTACTTCTTACATTTAAAAGGATAATACAGTACACTATTGAAGTCTAAAAACCAGAATAATGGTACGATATCTAAATTATCTTTAAGTTGTAATTTTCTTGAAAACTTTATCAAAAATCAAGTATTATATATGACGATACAAGAAGTTCACCATGCTTCGTTCACTTTAGTAACTTTAAAAATTTTCATCGTAAGCTTATAGAATTCAATTAATACGTTAATATTAGTAGCATGAGGAAAAAGAAGTGTCGCGCAATCTCTATCTCTTTCTTTTAGTCTCTGTCTTTGTTTCTTATCCAAAGTCACATATATAGCTATACATCTATAGAGTAGGTTAAAGGTTACCACTTGGTATGCGGCTCGCGCTTTTCATTACCAGAGGCTCGTTTCCCGCATCTTTCTCCGTTGTACTCGTTTCCCCACTGCAAATAGTCTAAATCTACTCTCTTTTCTCTCTCTCTCTTTTCTCTTTCTCTTTGCTTGCGCTTTTTCTATCACTCACAGCTGTCTGCATCCTTTTCTGTGCTCTATCATCTCATTCCAATTTTTTCTTTCGATTTTGAATCCTCTTTACGTATGATTCTATATACATGCTTTTTCTCTTCATCAACTGCTTTTGTACATATTTCACGATATAATTCCATAAGTGAATCTGATATGTCATGGAAGAATCGCTTCCAAATCAACGTTGATATTTTTTAGCAAGTACTTCCTCTCACAATTTGCTAATTAATACTTGACTATAATTCACTTGTCAATGGTACGAAAAAATGTGATAGAAATTTTATATATACAAAACGATTCTAATAACATCGTATTTGAATATTTTACAATAAGGTTTTTTTTTTGTCTCAAGCGATAAAGCGACGAAACGAAATAAAAAGTGCGAAACGAATTGCGAAACGCGTGCACTTGGGGTGAAAGAGTGAGAGAGAGAGAGAGAGAGAGAGAGAGAGAGAGAGAGAAGGGAAGGAGACGCGTCCAGGAGTTTTTACTACTCTTTTTTATGACGCAATATAAGGCGTTTTTTCGTGCTGGATAGAACTAAACCTATTACCGAAACCACCGAACTAACTTGGTAATCAAAGCTGACTAAAAAAGGAAATTACTAAGAATATGTTCAATAAGCCCCCAACTTTAATGATTGTTTAAAAGAATATACGATTTAATAAAGATCATTCAATGTTTTAATTTTTATCAAATTGTCAAAAATAATAGAATATAATTCAAAAATTGTAAAGAATCACGACGACAAGATAAAGGCAAGCAAAAGCATTTTGTGTAAAAAATTGATCTTAATTGACTCGACATAGAGGTTTTTTTAAAATTTTAATTTTAATTAATTCATGTACTCCATAGTGCATCTAAGACAGCTCATAAAAAAATATTTTTCACATTTTTAATCCACTTTCCAAATCTAACGCACAAGTAAGGCTAAGGGAGTACAAGGTGTAAGTTTTTCTCGAGAAAAGGGTTGAGTCGGCGCGTTGTAAATTACCTAGAGAGCAGTTTGATTAAATTTTTTATTGTAGCAACCATTAAGAAGCGCACCCTCGAAGGCGAGAAAAGTAGAAAAAAGAAGTTAGGAATGAGCAATAGCGGCTGCACAAATCTCTTGTCTGATTTACTGCACATTTATACAAATAGACCTTTGACGCAATGTTTTCTCGAATGTCGACTTTTTTCAACGTTATACTTTTGTTACAGCTGAAAAGTACTATCAATAATATTGAAAAATCGTGTTATTTTAGTAAAATATCTTAAAAGATATTCAATAAAAGTTCTAAGTCTATATTCCTCAATTAATTGAAGGTTTTGTTAATTAATTGTTGAAATTCATTAATAAATAACAATTATTTGCATTAAATTGTATTGAAATAAGAGGTACAAATTTAGAATAATATACATATAGTTTTTTTCTTCGTGATTTTATTTATTTCCACCTGACCGCTTCCACATTATTAATTTTTTTTTATTGAGTTATATTATTCTTACATATTTAATTACAATTTATGTCTAAAATTGAACGAAAGATGGACAATGACATGGGTATATGTTATGAAATCACTATAATTATTTACTCTGTTAAAGGTGTTTAAACCATCAGCTGGTCGAAATTCGACAAAATCAATATATTTTAATGTAAAAAATATTCACTAGAAAAGTAATTTAAATAACAAGCAGTAATTAACTTTTCTATATAACATTAAAAATATACCTATGCGTTCAAGAAAAATTAAACTCTTAATAAATAGAATTTCCACTTGTAATACAAGAAATAATTTGCTTGGTAAAAGTAAAATGAAAACAGAATAGGCATAATTAAAGAAAAGCACATCACAGTTAACAACACTTTCATGTTAGTTATTTTGTAGTAATAACGTAATTAATAATATCATAAAATCGAGCCAATGATTCCGTGGAGGCACAAAGTAAAACGAAACTAATAAATAATGACGGAAGGAACGTTAGATTCTCGTACTGGATGCCGCGTACACCTTTGAAGGTGTCAGCGCGAGGTCTCGTGGTTTCAGCGGCAGAGCAGCGCGCATGTGATCGGCAGTGGGTGGCGCGCGCGCGAAAGAGGTTCTGCAAGAGAGAGAAGTCACGTGGTGGATGTGTCGGTTGCTGCGAGGCTCGAGCGAGGAGGCTCCGCCCCCGCGAGATCTCCGAGGCTCATACTCGTCGCGGCCGCGTCATTCATGGCCGAGCCAAAGGCCGCTCTCTTTCTCACTCTGCCGTGCCGTCGTCGTCTATCTCGCGGCGAACGCGCAGACTCCCTCGAGCGCCGCCGCCGCCGCACCGCAGCGCAGTATTCGCGTGCGCGCCTCGTGAGTATTTCCTCTCTCGCTCTCTCCCACTCGCTTCTATAGCAAATCCTCCTACTACTGCTGGCGAAAGCTCCTCTGTTATCCATGCGTTCGCTTGCAATGTTGTGTCAGTTCAAGGGATGATGCTAGATGCGCGGGCAAACGTCTGGGCCTTGTTTTCGACTAGCTACCGATTTGCTTGCCGGTATCGCGCAGTGTCAAGTGTTGTAGCTGCCAGTGGCGAATAGTACGGATCCCACCTCGAGTGTCCAGTGATTCGGTATTTGCAAATCGCAAGCGAGGCTGCGATCGCACGCGCGTGAACGCCGTTGACAATAATTGGGACCAGCGTGTAGTGGCTATGCCACCGTCACTGGAATAACTAATCCTTCAAGAGTGTGTTTGCAATTGAAAAAGTGCGCGACTGAAAAAAGTGTTCCTACAGTGCAACCAACGAAACCCCAGTGTGCGCCAACGGGACAAGTTCAACGTCACCACCACGACGAGCTTAACGGCCAAGCCCGAGCTTAATCCGTGGTGGAGGGCTGGCTAATGCACCGGAGTGCCGGCGGTGGCGGTGGCATGGCTGCCGGCGCCGCCGCAGCAGCAGCAGCAGCCGCAGCCGCCGGTTCTCGTCACACCGCCGCTAGTTTAGATCTCGATCATCATCACCATCATCATCACCACCATCACGCGAATGCAACTGCTGCTGCAACGGCATTCCCTTGGAGTGCCATGCTTGCCGGTCATGCTGCTACTGGTATGATGCAACCATCTGCTTCCGGACACCACGATTACTCGCCCACGCCGGCACATCATGCTAATACTCAACATCCTGCCATGCCGATGGATCTCCACGTGTCGCATCAGGCGTTTCCGTACTACAGGTGCGCACATATCTGTTCGTTTCTTTATTCGCCTACGACGCAGGTTATGGTATGTTCCTATAAGCCTAGGAATTGATTTCGTTGGCTGGTAATTTGGTTCAGTACCAGATACCTTGTAACAGCCATCTACATTCATTGATAGTAATCAACAATTGATGTCGTTTTACCTCAATTACTTTTTATCGGTTGCAGTCGCGTATTGCACTCGTTAAAAATGGTTGTGTCTAATAAAAAACTGATCTCATCTTATCGCGTCAGTTAATGGCTCAAGCTGCGTATGCTTGTAAGAGAATCAAGGTTTCTCAAATGGATGTAGCACTTCATTTATTCAGTCAACTTTATGCTAATACACGTCGGGCAATAATCGTTTTCTTTTATATGTCGTTGACACGCTAGCCGAGATCGATAAATATCCGTGTGAATAATATTTGGATGATCACACTCGAGTAAGGTATATTTGTAAAAGTTGTTCGATATTAGTTGGTAGGTCGTACTCGAGCATTAGCATGACAGTTCAGCTCATTGAGGCAAATCGTACTTGTCGCTCTATTTTTAGATGGTGCGTTCTGTCAGTGCGCTGCCTGCCTGTCTGCCTGCCTGCCTACCCGGTTGTTTGCGATTACCTCTTCTGTACATCTATCTGGCTCGTGTCGAGAGCCGTTATCCTATTATTGACGCTTACCACGGCTCTCTGTAGAATAATAAGCTTTGCACGCTTGTTGTTTGGCCTGACATTGAAAACTATGCATCCGACGAGAATATCACTAAAAAGAAAATGTACGAAGAGTGAATCGATGTGACGATAAATTAAAGCTTGGATGATAGACGCGAACGCGCGAATAAGCCATGCGCGAGGCGTGTTGGCCGACGCGCGCTTTGACAGATCAGCTGCTGACAAAGAATAGCCGTGGTGAAGTTGGCGGCCCGCAGAGGAAGGAACAGGAAACGCATTACAATTCTTAGCTCGTACGGGTTATTAGCATTCTGCTATCAATTATACACTGGCTTCGGCGGCGCTGAGTCTCCTCTTTCGCCTCTTTACGCGCACACGTCCGCACGATCGGCAATCGACTCTCTTCCGACCATTATCTCACGACTCCCATCTGTATGTATTAGCTGCCGCCGTCGGATCAATTCCGCGCATTTCTTTCCGCGGATCTTGCTTCTACAAATTATCGTTGTTGCTGGAATACCAAATTCATTTTGCTGCCGTCGACAGATTGCAGAAAAGCTCGCGTGAATTATGCAATCAGAAGTAGCGATCTGCATAAATTATAAAATCAACAGCGCAGCGATATGATCTCGCGTTTCTTTTTACGAGAAGAGGGAAAGAAATACGGATGATATACGTATGAGCTAGAAATCATACATTACGTCATTGTCAATTAGTGCTACACGAGAAAATTACATGCGTTAACATATGCACCGTCTTACATCTTGCTAACCGAATTTATACGGCAGCTTATCGTATACGCCGTAAGGTCCAATACAAGATTGATAGTAATACTGTGATTGAACTACTGCAATTTTCCATAAATGTTCTTAAACATATAGCATTAAAGGCGCAAATCACAAAGTATTATTCAATTCTCACGCAATGTCAACATGTAATCAACGTGGAACTTAAACGACTACCGCGCAGCAGCACCTATTCATCTTATGCACGAGATATCCGTGAAGTATTGAGCTGAGTAGGCAGGCCGATGGCCGCAGGCACACACAGCAGCGGAACCAAATGTTATGCGATTTATACGAGCGAGAGAGGCGCGACGAGAGAGAGAAAGAGCCAAATGAAGACAACACCCATTCGAGCTTAATTCGATCTTGACTCGATTTCAAGAGAGGGAGATTTTGCATAACGAATCACATGTATGTTTTTCGGAGGCTAATCAACGATTATCGTGCCTTTCAAAATTAAACTTTCGTACGTATTGTTTGATCTTCGTCATTGACAATTTCGGAATAATATTCAAGAGTGCTACTTTTAGACGAAAGGGAAACTATGGAAAACACCAATAGATAATAAAAAAGAACGCATTGAAATGGCTTGGTATAATGCAGCAAAGAGAGAAAAAGAAACAAAGCAGGCGAGTATTATTGAATGATGGGCCAACCAACTAGTAATAGGGCCGGACGCGTGGATGTAAGAACCGAAGCATCACATGCGTTTTATATATCCGAGACTGGCGCTGCTGTTGCCGCTTGCAGAGCCTTATTTCCTCTCTGCCTCGCATGCACTTCTTCTTCTTCTTCTTCTTCTTCTTCTTCTCCTCCTTCGCCGCGGCAGCGCAACTTTTTTGCAACGCGGTTAGAGAGCAGAGATGATCGAGCGCGCGCCCAGGTAATCTTTTGCATCGGCGCGGGCGCGCAAGAAACTACACATTTTTCGGAATTTCGTATAATCAGACGCTGCTAAATGGACACCGCCAAACAACCAAACAAGTCTAGCTTCTCTTTGTTTTTTCTCTTTTTTTCTTCTTATTTTCTTTCTTTTTTTTTTTTTTTTTTTTCGGTAAGAGCGCGTACTGTTTGGAAGTCGGATGTGCGATTTATATATAATAACGAAAATTGCGCCTAATTAGCTAGTATATGGTAATCGGAACCTACAATTTCGCTACGTATGGGGAATAAGAAAAAAAGGCTCCGCTTGTAATCGGATACATTGGATTTGAGAGAGATTGCTACGTGGACTTGGAAATTACGTAGCTCGATACATCGCGAGCTGCGAAGAAGATGTCATTTTCTTACCTGATATTAAACATGGCGGGGTCGCGAAAGGGCAAGGTCCAAACACTAATAAGGCGTAGTGATGCGCTGCGTTTTAACCAAAGAAACTGGAAGAATTTTTTGTTCTTTTCACTTCCTTCGCGAGACGAACGCAAGGCGTGCTGTGTCGAAAGAAAGAGAGCAAGACAGAAGACGGTCAAGCAAGCTACCACACTACGACCGATAAATAACGCTGCTTCGTTTTTTTTATGACAAGCTATAGTCGTGCTGGCTCTCATACACTGCGGAGAGCATTAGCCACGGACGCGTAGAACTTGTCGTCATGCGATCAAAGAGTACTGGATTTGTGAACGCGAAGAATTTTTATTTGAAATTCGATTAGTTCGCATACCCTATTGTGATCCTATTTATTTATATAAATCTTAAAAATGTAGCGATAACATCTTTCACCGACACATTCTGTTGTTATGGACTTGAACAGTGAATTTTCTAAAGGCATTACAGTTACTTCTGATTACATCTCAATTATGAAAATCTTCTCCAAATATATCATTCATAACAATGATTCGAGCCAAATGAAATAATATCAAATAATTTAATGGTAAATGCGATTTTTTTCGAATCAATCTAAAATATCGCGAGTGCACTGGTTAACACATATTTAACTAATTTGTAATTACAATGCATTTTCGAAAATGAAACATTTAACATGGAAAATATAGAAATGTGAATGGTACCTGCGGAAAATTCAAAGTGTCAATAAACAACGACTATAAATTATCTCATCACAAGGGAGACTAAAGTCTCCAATAAAGTTTCCCTATCAAAATCCAATCTATACAAGAGTAGGCAAATTAAGGTGAGGCGAAAACAGCAGTCTCAGCACACCGCGTCGAAAGAGAAAGAGAGCAAAGGACAAGTAATAAGACGTCATTATTGATTTTCAAGTTTTTCTCATCTCTCATGTTAACTCCGCGAAAATGGCCTCGATTTCAGTCATTACTGCCGAGGCTCGCTCTGGTCGCGATCTCGGTAACAAGAGCCATCATCATTCCACAAGCCGGCCCCCATCGCTGCACAATAATTACCAGTCAATCATCCCCCACCCCACCCTTTCGAATTATACACACACACACACACACACACACACACATATATTCGTGTTCGTAGACAAATTTTCAGCGATCGTGCGATTCCTCCTACTCTTCCTGCTTCCTCCTGTCCGTGCAGTCCGTGGAAACGGCAGCCCTTGGCCCCGGGATTCACAGCTTCTTTTTGTGTATAACAGCGACGGCACCGCTGCAATTCAGATTTGATTATAGCCTGCCGAAAGTTCGCAGACTATATAGCCTTAGGCTGCGCACAGTTGCCTGTGTGCATCCACGCCCAAACGATATATATATACATACAGTGCTCTCGTTCGATCCCTTTCTCTATTGTTACTTTTTTTACACCCTTGCGATTTCGCTGCGACTAAGACCGCACTCGATATCATTTGCCGAAGAGCTTTCCATGAAACTCGGTAGCCAAAAAGTTGGAAGCTTAAAGAGCGAAAGAATCAGTCTCGTTGAATCGTTTTATACAGATCGCGCTGTACAGGAGGTATAGTTAGGCACTCTCTGCTCGGGCCCACTTTGATTCTATGAAAAACAAGTGTACCATGCCAGAGACAAAAAGCTATTGATTGACCGTGAAGATTGGCCCGCGATCCGATTGAAAAGGAGGAATCTGTTTTTATCCTCGGTTTTTCTCTTATACGCAGTCTCGTTTTAATCTATGTTTCTATCTCTCTCTCTCTCTCTCTCTCTCTCTCTCTCTCTCTCTCTCTCTCTCTGCTCATCAAGCGCCGATTGTCTCGTTTTTTTTTTACCGCCAAGACACAGCTCACTTCCCGAAAAGAAAGGTATCTCGGCTGCGTGCGCGCTGGCGCGTTTTGGTCTCGTGTCGGTTTTTGCGTCTGCTGGAAGGAAGAACGCAGCGAGAAGGACCGCACGCTGCAGCACGCGCCGCAAAGGTAAAAAGGCCAATCCGGTGTCTTCTCTGTTCGCGAGCCGATCGTCGCGTGGTTTTGTGTGCGCGATCGATGTGTAGCTGTGCGTGTAACTGCGCGCGTTTTTCGATCGCTTGGGGCTGCATTAAACGCTCCGTAAATCATTGGGTTTCTTGCGCAAAGCGCGAATTGCAGCTCGCACTCGCGAGCGGCGGAGTAAGACGAGAAAAATCGTCGCCTCTCTCGCTCTTTGACAAACGTACTGAGGGGAGTTGCGCGCGTG